CTCTGCCCAGGGGGACAGCTTGAGGCTCTGTCTCAAAAAAAAAAAAAAAAAAAAAAAATATCCAGCAATCACCAGCCACTTCATTCACATCTCTTCAGCTCATCTGCATAGTCCACACTCAGTGAAAAAGGCCACTTCAATAGAACCTAGTATTGGCTTATCAACAGTGTTTACTCACCAGTTGCAAGAATGAGGCAATTCTGTAAAGAAGACTCTCAATTTTGATGCGTTCTATCTCCAATGGACAAGGCCCCGCGAAGTCTGCCATGGAGCACTGGCCAAGAGAAAGAAGGGCCTCTGTACAGTGCTTGAGGGCCATTTCATAGTCCTGCCTCTTAAGTGATTCACATGCTTGTTCACATGACTTTTCAGCTCTTCTGTCTTCCATGACTCAGGGACAAAACTCCTAAAGACAGGGAGAAAGAACAAGAGAACGTTTTAAAAACTTATTAATTATGAATTCTAGTGTCATTCCGATCTCAGCTGGCTTAATTATCTATCTGAATAGTTACTCTCCACTAGCCTTTTGATCAAGGTCACAGCTAAGCAGCAGCTTTTGATGCTACAAAAATCTATACTTCTCTTTGATATTTTATGAAGTCTTTACTAAGATCCAAGCAAAATGCCAACCAGAAGCCAGGATCATGCTAACAATACATCAAATACATAAATGAACCAAATTTGCACGTGAAACTTGACTATAAATGTTACCAGGTATACAACAAACTATAAAAGATTCCCTTTCTTTAACCAAAGGTGCAGAAATCTCTCCTATCTAAACCTCCGAATTCTAGTTTCCCAATTTCAGTCTCACAATCCATGAGTGTGGCTGAAGAAAATCAAAATCTATACCAGGCAAGACTTTTCACCACCAATTAAAAAAATGGCTGCAACTCTTTGAACTGCCCATTAATTCAATTCAGCAAACATTTCCTGAGGGCCAGGCCCTGTAGCAGCACTGAATGTAAGATGGGGCCTGTCATCTCTGCTTTCAGGAAACTCAAGATTCTAGCAAGAGGCATAAATTATAGCACAAGTGAACAATTACAAAAAATAAAATTAAATTCTTACTCCATCTGCCCAAAGGCATGACCTGATCTGAAAAAGTGAATAGGAGTTCACCACATACATGACACAGAAAGCAAATTCAGAGAAGAGTTCAAGCAGAATCACCAAGCGAAAAAAACACACGGTTTAGACTCAAGGTACATCAGAGGAGCTAGATGGGCTACGAATGACCTCAAAGTGAACGAGAGGGGAGGGCTTTACTCCATGGAAAAAGCCCTGGAGTAAATGGCTTTAGTGGAGCAGATGGAAGGTTTTTAAATAAAGAGGGTACCTATCAAATGTAAGTCCTATGAAGAACTAGCTAGCAGGAGAAGAAACTGCAGGCTTGCAGCAGGGGAAGAAATGGTAGGCATTGCCATGAATGACACCACTAGAATAGTCTAAATAAGAGACAGAGAGCGCTCACTCATGACTTCTCCCTAGCTCTGTCACTCACACAGCAAGAGCAGAAAACCTGGACAGAAAAGACCTAAAATCCTTTGCCTGACGTTCCCAATATTGCCTTAAGGTTGTTCTCGCTGAGCCCTCAACACCACACCTGTCAAACTTGGGTACTATGTTTCTTACCTGCACCCACCTATCCGCTCTCCTGCTCTTTCCCAACTTCCACCTTAGCAGCTAAGCCCTGAGGTACTTACTTGTCCCTTCCATCTCTCTCCAGCCTGCATATATGCTCTGTGCCAGTCTCCCCTGCTCTGCCCCCTCCCCTCCTAGCTGTTCTGTAGCCATCTGCTGCCCATACACGGCCATGCGAGATGAAGGGAGAAAGTCACTGACTGGCAGCCAACAGACAGCAGCAGTGTGGCAAGATGACAGACATTAGAAGAGGCCTAAGCCCCTTCAGCTTTGAGATTTACCAAAAAATGCAGAAATACCCAAAGGACGAGATGAGGAAGAATTCAAAAAGGATTTCCGTAGTATCTGTTAGCATTTGTTCAATATGGATTGAACTATATAAACATATGTATATATGGAGTATAAAATAATAAAATAATACTCTACTTTTCTCAATTTGGAATTTTTTTTTAATAAATTTTTATTTATTTATTTATTTGCAGTTTTGGCTGAGGCTGGGTTCAAACCCACCACCCTCAGCATATGGGACAAGC